TAGACGACCACAATTGAACGCATGTTTCTTCCAAATGCACATTGTTCTTCTCAGACTTGCCTCACTTCTCCTCAGACTAGTGCCCACCGGGCGCCCTCCGCGGTCCCACCGGAGCACGCCTTGCAGGAGCCTTTGTTGGACCGACGAGACTGGCACCCCGCGTGGAACAAGTTGGCCCACGCCCGTCGCGCGGCGAACTGAGACTTCGAACCGCGCTGAGCCGGGCGCGACCGGCGGAGCCGGGGGCACCCGGCGCCTGTGCGCTCGGCGGTTCGTGCGCTTGGCCGGTTTAGGTGTTCAGACTTTCGGACGTAGTGGGGACGCTCGTAGTGTCTATGTTTGAGGTGTAGTCATCAAGTGGATCGCAGGCAAGAAGATTGTTTCAATCAAGCAGATACCGCACAGCGATCGCCACTCAGTGGACCTATATTCTCATATGCGTCATATGACTCATATTCTCATGTTAAGTATTCCCACTCCATGTGAGGATGACCGACTCCTTTCTTGTCCAGCTCAAGTGGAGACTCATGGGAATTCGCTGAATCCACCGTTGAAATTGATATCCATCACAACTCACAATCCAGACACTCCATGTATGTATTTGCATACATTGGGGTGGTTTCAGGCAGTTCTGTTTGGATAATCGAACTGAGCTGAACTTCAGCGGGTTTGCCATGAACCTTCTTTTTCGGCGCATCAAACAAAACGAAACATGCACTATGCACCTTATCCATGCAGGAATGTGACAAAGAGATTCGGCTCGATATTAACTTAACAAGGTTGGCTTGCAGGAGCTCCACTGTGCTGATGTTATTTGTTGTAAGTACCAACAAACAGATGCGAAGGAGTGAGTGTGCAGTTAAGCATGGTACCTGTTTTTGTTGGGGAGTGTCATCCTTGTTGGGCGCATGCTGCATGTTCATGCATTTTCGTGTATTCTAGGACTATCAAAAGACGTTTCGGAACCACCGACCTGAGCCAACCTCCGGCACCTGCCGATCGTGCCGATCAGTGTGTCAACATCAATTCCACCTCAGCCGGTGCTTTTTTCAGGTCTTGATCCTGGGGACCTACGAGGCCGTGGTGTGCCTGGATGATGACATCTTGATCCGAGACCCCGTGTCTGGAGCCTTGGCATCGGACGAAAGGACCAGTCGGGTCGATTTGGAGTCCGGTTCGGTGGCGAGGTTTTGGGTGAAGCGACCTATTTCAGTTTTTGCACGTGTCAAAACACACTGTTGTTGGGTGCTGTTTTCAGACATTTGCTTTCATTTTCAACCTTTACTTGGGATTATTGATCCCACTATATAACTTATATTTTTGCGCTTGTGAGTTGAAACCACCAACCAGTTTGCCTTTGGCAGCACCTGAGGCCTGACCCTCTGGGAGAAGCCATTGCTGCTTGGTGCAGACGGGTGGAGAGCCCCTGGTGTTCTTGAGTGAATGCTTCTTTGCTTCTTTTGAGCGTTGAATTCCACACCGAGTACGGTCATGGCCAGAGTGGTTTAACCGTGGACGGCACAAACCTCAACAGGTGAATCCATATAATTATAGTATAGTATGTATAGACCCTCCATCAAGAGGCCAGCGATCAGCAGGTTTGTGCCACCTACCACTACGTGAAAGGTCTACGTGGCAAGTGCCCTTCCGAAGTACAACTGCTCGATGAACCCGATGGCAGCTCGAATGATTGATCGGATCGGAAGGGAAGCTGACAATGCTTGGCCTATGCTGGAGGGAAGGTTGCCGCATCAGCCACATGCCTAGGGTTTGAGGCCAGTGAAAGCTATGTGTTCTGTATAGGTTGATCTCACGCTGTAAAAGGATGGTGGGCTCTATGCCCATTTCAACAACAATAGTACTCAGTACTCTATGAGAGTCTCTATGAGGTATTAGGAGTGGTGGGGCCAACAAGTTATTGTCCATAAAGGATTGATCATTGGTTGGCACCATTTTGAATTTGTTTAACATGTTCCAGCCATTCCAACCGGGTGATCAGTGATCAGCAGTCCGGAAGAAGATTCGGGAGTATGTCCCTTTCGTGTCAGCAGAGCATCAATCAAGCGAGCCATGGATGATCTTTGGAACACGTTTTCTGTGATTGGTAGTGACGACTGCTTTGCACGCCACCCCTAACCCCATGAGGCCCCACAAAGCCTACTCTTTTCCAGAGACCACTACAATCAGGGACTGAGTAGTTTGGTCCCATATCGCCTGTATGCTGTAGAAGAAAGAAAGCCTCGCACCACATGCAGGTTTCCTTAGCTGACAATGCTCTTTGCTGGGGTGAGATCGCTGATAGTCATTCAGATTGATATTGCTCCTTGTACCTGATGCCCCGCGTGTTTCCAGGCCATGGTAACCTAGACTAGTTATATAGGTGGTGTAGATTGTTTGCACACACTGAAGTATCCTCGTGGTTTTCCATAGTTCTTCCTGCCATCTTTTGGTGTGCTGGTGCTCAGGAGACCTACTTGGTGCCCAACAAGGTTGGGACAATTTGCTGGAGCGAGGACAGTTGGCAGATCGTGTTTGATCCCATTTTGGTCACTTGACTCTGGTGATTTCTCCTTTGATATTATTACTAAGCACAACAGGCAGACCAGAGTGGAATCACGAAAAGATTGCTTTTGATGCTCCCTCAAACAAATGCACCTTCTTCATTGGTGGTTGGCCGCCTCGTGGTTGGTTTGATGATGTTTGATGTCAAAGTGTCATGGGGTTGCTCAAAAGCCGTGTGACCTAGCCAGATCCATCCAGCATTTCCAATTTTGCAGGCATGCACACCTTGTGACATGCTCAGGGCGCTGAGAAGCTGATTGTGGCTTCCCTGGATGACCGTCTAGCGCGGGGAGCCTGGAGGGCGTCCAATCATGGCTCTCTCTTTGGCCCGCTTGGAGGTGTTATGGCCCGGATTGGAACTGAACCTGTGTTGCTTTACTTCAGTGTTTGTTGTTTGCATGCTGGTTGTATGAAGGTTGTTAGTAGTTAGCGGAGCTTCACTGGTTTTGTGGGTTGAAAGCATTTAACCGGTGAACAAGTAAAGGAAACGTGGTTCAGATCGAATTAGATCAGCAAAGGGTGGCTACTCACATCATCCTGGTGACCATTCCAAATTGGATTATATACTTGGATTGCAACGGGTAAGGGCATTGCAACAACTTACACATGTGTTTGATTGTTTTCCCCATATCGCTGAAAACTTCATTGTTTCCACCACCATATTCTTTGGATTGTTTGGTTGTCATGGATTGATTGGGCAGCCAGCCCAGGAACCAGCTGTCGAGGACTTTTGTCTCGGCGATCTTGGTGGTTGCTAAAAAGGGTCGGTTCGGACACGGCGCATCGACAGGTCCAGCCTGCTTGTGTACCACAAGACATCACAAGACCTTGATGTCTCAGGGAAGAGCATGGCAATTCCCTGTCAGGATGGTTCTGATGGTTCCTGCATGGTCTTTTAAAAGAATGCAAGACATAGCAAGACAATCTAAAAGTCCTCAAGATGACTTCCAACTCTGCAAGTTTCTCTTGTGGAGCAGAGGATTTATTCTAGTGATTGTGCACCCCCAGCAGTGTAAGGTCGATGCCCGTGTGCCCTTCAACAGTGGCGTTCGGATGCCTCGGGTCCTGCAAAGTGTGCAGGGTATACTACCGCTTGAACAGCAGAAGTATCGGGTATTCTTTAGAGGAGGATGGTTCGTCAGTCATGTGTTTGTTGTGGTGTTGAAACACCTTGCCGAGAAAGCCAGCCATTTTTTCAGCCTTGGTCAACTTTTAATGACTAGCCAGCAACACAAGTTCAGATGCATTTTGAGTGAGGGCAAGAGCAACAAGCAATTTTGGCCAGCTATTCAAAAACATTCAAAAACAAAGCAACATGCGCTGGGATGTGCTCAGAAGCGTTATTCATTGCTGATCACGGGGTCACATAAATATATATTTGGGGGTGTACCCCCCCAAAAAAAGTACACCTGTCCTTGTCTCCTGATTTCATTAGCGGGAATTTACTTATAGATTGCTGCTTAATTTTCACTTGGCTGATGATATGATGATTGTGGATGTACCCCGCTCCCCTTCGGACATTTGCTTGAACAATGTTTGCGTCCTGAGAGCTGTGTCCTCTCCCTTCCTTTCATGTATGTTTAGGGAAGTCAACTTTGTGAGATTTCGTGATAGGTCCTAGCAATATGGCTGGAGTTTCGTGGGGTATCTAGGCCCCTGGCATGTCAGACCCCTCCCCAAGCCACGCAAAACGATCAGGGCGTTCTCCTCCAGAAGCTTTGCTGTTGCGCAATTCTAGTATTGCCCAACCCCCCATCCTTTTTTGAGTTAGACCTGGTGATTATCGATTGCAATTGATGCTAAATCAGAAAATGCAAAGTTGATTCACATTGGACGATTTGGATTCATTCAATCTGTATATCATATTGCAAACACAATATAATGAGTGGCTAACCTATGCAAAATCTTGTGAAGTGCCATAAATCTGTGTGATCATGGAGACAACTTCTCCATTCAAACACCATTCGACGACTTCGACGTATTCTCCTCTTTACACCGCAAAAAGCAGTTGCGACATCGGCGCCATTCGAACGCCGAAATCGGTGCGTCCCGTCGTCCGGGTCCCGAGGTGTTGATCTTGAAATCCTCGCCACGGACGCGGGGGCGACCCGGAGCGACCGAGTCCAGCGCGGTGCTTGTTGGGGGAGACCGAAAGTGACTGCAAGACACCCCGAGATGAGGGGTGTTTGGACAATGTTTTGACATGGAAAGGATCACCAAATGCCCCTGAAGGCTTTTGTGTGAAACATTGATTCAGGTCAGAAGGGCTGTTGGCAAAGGGTGTCCAGGAACAACAACATAAGTAAGTTCCAGATCTGTGGCCCAGGGCTCACAACAAGCAAACATTACACTATATCAGTCAGTTTCCAAAACCAAACTATCAGAATCCATGACGTTTTTTGTGGAAGTGGACTTCGTTTGCGAGTCCGCTGAGGTTGATGATCCTGGATGAAGTCTTTAAATTAGGCGACCGGTGGCCGGGTTTCTGGGGAGACCTGCCCTCGTTTCGGAGCAGCTCTCCATGCGACTCGCATGGACCCGGTGCCTCTTCCCCACTCGGACGGTGGTCCGTCGCACCGCCCGGACGGATGAAAACCGGGCGGCACGGAGCTGGAATCTATCGAGGAGATGGGTGGAGATGGGGTATGTAGGGTGTCCTACACTTTCCCGCCAATTTGGGGTGTTTTGGTGTGTTTCATTGTGTTTCCCATTTGCCAAGTGTGGAGTTTTCATGAGACATGTCCCCTCTAATTAACACATCAATCCCTCTCAACACGTGGGTGTTGATGCCACAACTTCACCAGGCCGCCGCCTAAAACTGGTGAACGGCTACACCTGGCTGCCGGGACCTGAGAAAGTCTCACGGCTCACGGATGTGAAAACGGAACGAACCGATTTGCCGGTAGATTCACAGAGACTAAGATCCAGGAAATTGGTTGCCTCAACATGCCTGAACAGATGTTTGTTTTGCTTCAACTGTTGATTATCCTCCTTCAGCATTGGAGTTTTGGGTTTGCGGTTTCAATACTTCGGTCTTTGCCTACATAGATATATATATATGTAATTGTGAAGCTGTAGTCTTTTTTTGCCCTGGGGAGAAGGACCTTTGCTTCATGTTTCTTTGTGTTTATGTATATCCAGTGGCGACCGTGGTTCAAAACCGTTCAGATCGATGTTGAGTGACTCAAGGAGTTGAGTCGCTCTGTGCCACGGTCCAAGAAAGACAGCGAGCTCGCCAGAAAGGTGCTTTGTGGAGGGCCATGACGTTCAAAGCCGAGCCGCCAATGTTGGACGATTTCATCCGCGGCTGAGCAGTTCACCCGTCCAGCACCCTCCGCCCAAATGGGAGGCTGCAGGCTCGCCGCTTCCGCTTTCACAAGCGGAGGAATCTGTCAAGTCCACTGCAGTGTGAGCCGTTGCGGCGGGAGAAAACAGAGTTCGAGCTCAGTCTCCCTCCCATGGGACTCGAACAAGGCTGAACTCGAAGAATTACATGGAGCGTTTGCTAGCTGCAGAGCCAGTTGGACGGCGCACTGATTCAGGCCTGCCAGAGCCACGGGAGAGGCTTGCTCATGCTAGGAATACTGTGCCATGCCCAATGCCCATGATCAATGCTGCAGCGCAGGCAAGCGCCAGTGCGGCAGGTGACCTAGCGACAAAAGAACTGGCGGACGTGGTCTGTCAAGAGGGCAAAGGAACACCCGTAGTGCTGTGCAAGATTGACCCCAAGGCGAAGCATGGCGAGAAGCGACGGGTGGTTGGCGCCAAAGTCGGAGGCTTCACCTTGGTCCTCCAATCATTTGTGGATGTTTTCTCCGTAGAGCAGAGCAATCTGGCTCCGTCAGAATGCTGTCGATTTCGGATCGAGAAGTTGCACTACATCAGCCAGTGCGCCATTGCCAAGGCCGACGCCGCACGCATGTCGCCTGAGATATCCTGAGACGATCAAGTGCACTAGGACCGTCATGATCACGTCCACAACACAGCGAAGGGTCGGCGAAAGGACCTTGCACAAGACCATGCAAGAATATGATGGACAGGCAGACAGCAAGGATCACAGCTTGCTAGATCACAGCTTGCCTGCCCAAAGCTTGATGACAAATATGATATGTACGACAAATTGATGCTTTGAGATCACCTCCATCAAGAGCCTGTTGGGTTTATCGGAGGCTTCAAACCTAATTCAACCTGAAATCGTCTTCACTGTTGGGATTCGGGAGTGGACATGAAGGAGAAGGTGCATCCGGTTGTGTCCAGATGTACGCCCATTAAAAAAAGAAGCAGCCAGGTGAGAACCGAGCACCATTCGTACACGATACCATGGTTATATACGTAAACCATGTAAATACCAAGACCAATGGAGTCCAAATAGATGTGTATATATATATATATGGAGCATATATATATATATATACAGTGTAACATGATAATATAATACTCTGTACACGATATGATACCGCGGTTCTGAACTACCAATTTGTAGCCAGAGGCCACTGGGCGTCCATCCGCACTTCCCACTGCCCGCCCGCCCGCGCGCGTGCAGCATCCGCCTCCGAGGCCGCGCATCACCGGGCTTTGGGACCAGGAGAGCAGCGTGCAGCGCAGGGGGGTGCTACGGAGGGACACCGGAGGGACTTCTCACCATGGAGGACCACTTCATCCTTGAATCTGATTGATTGAGCTTGAGGGATGTCATCCACAGAATTGTTCGGCTTCCTAGTTTCCTAGGCCAAAGATACACTAAAAGTGATGGCTCTTAACCTTGCAACCAACCATGCAATGGAATGGATAGTGGATGTTCATTGTTTGCAACGGATCCTGCTTTGAATTTTGCTGAGAAAATCCAATTGAATCTGCCAAACTAACTGTGTTGATCAGTTGTATTCAACTATTTGTGTGAGTCATGCTTGGAGTAATCTAATTTAGAAGTCGAAGAAGATTTATAGGAAACTCTTGGGGTTCCAATGCTTTGGGGTCCAAGATTAGTGCACAGGAAGTTTGCAGAATCCAGAACTTTCTCGCAGCGGCGCAAAGTGTTTTTGCAAGACACGACAGATGTCAGGCCGCATAAGTATGAATACCTGATTCTGGTTCCGGATGCCTGGTTCTGCACGCGAAGGGTTGCACGCTGGGACATTTCAGGTCCAAACTGTGGCCAGTGTTTCGTCACATTGCCGTTGTTTGCGCGACATTGTCGTGGGTTGCACGACCGTACGTTGACGTGCATGAAATGAACTTGATATGTAGTGCAGTGCATGGCTCCAAGTGGGTGTGCCAGCACCTCCATGCAAAGAAGTATGTAATTATGCTGCGTCGGCGGCTTTGAACCTGCAAAGATTCTTACTATATCCGGTGCTGAAAATCTCCAGGCGAGCGGCAAGGCAAGGTCTTTTAATTTGGTTAAAAGTCAGAGGATCATACCAGGGACTGCAAGAAACTTGCTATATAACTTTCTCAGAGAGTTGGAGGCCATCGGTTTCCTACTTGCTAGAACCAGAGATGAGGAAGCAGAAAAGATGAAATTTGTCTCCCTGCATTGTGTGGAAGACGGTGCCAGGCATGCCTCAAGGATTCTCACCCGTGCTTTATTCCCATGTCGGGCAGCTATGGGGTTTGGGTCAAACTTGCCATGTCGGGCCAGCGCCCAAGAACAAGCAGACCATGCTGTAGTTCTAGAGAGATGTCGCGGCATTTTTGCACAACATGTCCAGTGAATTTGAGTCCTTCAGCTGCCGACTACGCGCACAATCCGGCAACTCGTCGAAATGCGACACAAAGCCAGGACGCCTTCGCAGAATATTTGCAGCTTTGGGGCGACCAGAACTTTGCGTGCCGGCCCAGAGCCATCTCAGAAGTGTTCCCAATTGGCTCACAAAAAACTGGCACTATTGCACCGCGCTTTTCCTTTTTGTCCCTTTTTTGACAGTCTTGCGTTTCCTTTTACTGTAGTTCTTTCACCTGATGTGAAAGGTGTTCCACATCTGATGCTCTGCAAAACAGACCTGCGGAACTCATCGGTCGGCCAAGTCTGGCACTGAGGTCCTACTCCCACATGGCCGGCTGCAATCCTATGCTCGAGGCCGTCCGAGCATTGCCTCGGTTGGCCAAACACTTCAGAAAGAGGTGCATGTTCGATGAAATCCACGACCTACTGGCAGCAAGCTTGTCTTTTTGTGCACCAACGAAAAGGAACTCCTTTTCTAATCTTTTCTCCATGTAAGTGATGCCTTCTTTTGTTGAGTGTTTTTGCTATGTTTTGCTCAGGTGCTTCCGTGGTTCTTTCACACAACACGAGGTTAACCCCCAGGTGGTTCTTCCGGACACGGCGTTTCTCCTCGTCCTGTTGAGGCAATTGGCCTGACGCATCTCTGTCAAGTTCACTCTTGCACTTCACAGGAACCGTTGGTGTCGGAACATATGGTGGGTGTCGGAACATACTGGGGGCGACTTGCGAAACTCGACAGTCAAACACATATATATATGGGAAAGCATTTGTTAATCTTGCCACTCTCATGTTCGAAACATGAGCTTGTTCTCCAGGTGTTGGGTCTGGTATTTGGATACCAACAATCACATATGATCTCAGACTTGTGCCATTCACTTTGACCTTGGACCATTTCTGTGTGTGAAAACCCTGGACCACAGGCGGTCAGATTTTTGAACCAGATCAAAAGCCCTTCACCTGTCCCCAATGGTTCTCAATATAGAGCACTAGTAAGTAGTTCCACTTCCACCCGTCTTCTCTAGGACTTGCTGAGCTGCCGGAGCACCAACGTGCGGAAGCCCAGCCAAGCTGGTCGTGAAAGCCGAGGTCGTGAAGTGATTCTGGTTTGGAAGGTTGGTTGAGTTCAGAGTTGGGGACAAGTCAAAACCCGGAGCCCCAACACCCTGGTATAGGTTGACCTTCCAGGTAGGTTTGCATCTTTGTGTAGAGGATTTCTACCCCACATCCCTGGCACCCAACCTGTGGTTGAAGGTGGGACGCGTTCAGACACGTGCGTAAGATTCATCGGTAGGTCAACCAGGCTATCCTGATGCATCCTGGTTCTGACCCACAGCCAATTCGGTGTGCTGAGTGCTTTAACGTCTGGTGCTTCGAAACCTGGGCAATTGCTGCATACATCCCCATGAACATCGCTCGCCATCCTGAGCAAGGGGATGTCAAAGCGTAATTGACAGTTGATCAGGTCACAGGTTGAGCAGGTGTTGATTCCAGCCGGTCACAGTCCCCGTCTCAACAAAGTACTAGGGTGGGGGGGCAAACGAAGACATAAAAGACGAGACATCCCACACACCACAGACAGAAAGTCACTCCTATCCGCCCTGGACAGCAAAGTCGGGGCACGTGGCTTCATTCAGAACCCAAGAAAAAGCACCACGCCGAACAAATTACCGGGTCTGTTGCGTCAAGCCCACTGCGCCGCACCAGCCATCCAATTTCCGGCACATCTCAAAATTCACCCAATCTGAGTGGCGCAAGCCTTCCCAGTTCAGACCCACAGGACTTGGCAGGCAGGCGCCACAAGCACGTTCGCTCAGAATCGCTTCGGCCGCATACGGAAGAAGAGTTCTTTGTTTGGCTGTTCTGTCTGGTGAGGTGCTGCTACTTTTGCACGGCTGGAGGCGCCGGGTTGGTTTTGAGGAAGGGCGGTTCCGAAGCAGTCTTAAAACCCGTGGGTTTTGTTGGCTGGAGAAGATCAGACACAGGCACCATCCAGAAACCACACGTTGTAGAGCGCATCTTGTGTTTTGGCCCATGGCTTTTGCCATCTTTTGCCCCATTGATTCTGCTTGTAAATTGACATGGGAAGCTGGGGGCAACGAGCCATTGCAAAAACATCATTATAGTCACGGACGGCCAGTAGGCAGGGAATTTTCTGCTTACTACCGTCCTCCGGGGGGGTATATTTGAGCATTTTCCCTAGGTTTATATATAGAGGGGTATGTGGAGACCACAGTAGTAAGCAGAAAAATATCACCGACCAAAACGATGCCGGCACATCATTTGCTTACTGCAGTGGTTCCTTTGTCCCCTTTCCTTCTCTCTCTCACACTTCCCCCCGTCCAATTTGGACGCATTCTTGCGGTGATTGTGCTTTACTGCATGTGTATATATATATATAGTTATGTGCACATAAGACTAGGGGTTAGAGAGGCGGTTGGGAGATGGTAGAGGAATGGAGATGTGCAAAGACATCACACGATTGAATTCGCAAGAGGCAACGTGGATCATCAGCAATCAGCAATATCCATGCATTGTTGCCGGAACCCTGAAAATGATGAGAGGAGGAGGAATGAGGACAGGAAGGTGAGGAAGGAGATGGCAGCGAGGGAGGTAGAGGATGGCTAGTGGAATGCCTTGGAAATTGCTGTGGAACCACAGCTTTTGAAGCCGTGCCCCTGCAATGAGGAACCATTTGTGGAACGGACTGCAGTAAGCATATACCAATCTGCTTACTACTGATAGGTGCAGTGAAGAGAAAACACCAAGTATCAATGTTGGATAACAATTGCTACAAGAACATACTGTACACAATGACCTAGTTGTGGAAATTGCTGGAGCAGATACAGAAAGATGTAGGAAGAGGGGGAGCTATTTTGTAGAATGGGGGGCAGTGAGCATAAGCCAATCTGCTTACTACTGCTGTCCGCAGTGTACCCACCAAAATGACAGGAACACCGTAACTTAATACCCGAAGCAGTAGTCTACCTCACCTCAACCGTTGGAAACAAGTTCCACTGGAATAATGTTCTAGTTGTGGACAATTGTAAGGGAGAGAAAGACACGGAAGGACACGGGAAGCGGGGAGAAGGGAAGCGGCAAATTGAAATGTGAAAGAGTGCATGGAAGGCATATTGCGGTGCTGTTTATTTGTGGAGCGCGAGCCCGGAGCAGTAAGCAGAATCTGATCTGCTTACTACTGTGTCCCCAACAAAGGTTTATGATACACCCTGATCCTCTCACAGGCCACCTGAACCGTTGGAAACAAAATCCTTCAACCATAGCGGCCAGAAATCTATTTCCTTTCCCTTAAAGGGGGAGACCACTGACGGTGGGGCAGTGAACCTTGTCTCTTCCCTTTACAGGGGGATTCCCGGTTTCGATGCCGTGACTTCGTCCCGGGGCTCGACCGGCGGGTTCGCGGCAGTGACCCTTGTGCGACCGGACCGATCGATCCTTGGGACGATACACTTCCCCACCGTCAGTGGTGACCCCACAGTCGACCCCGACAGGGGGAGAGGAGAAAAAGTGCAGAAAAAGTAGTTGATTTTTAATTCTTAGTTATTTTCTGGGTCATATTCCTTCAGTTCCTGTCTTTCCTTGATGTTTGGAGAGTTTTGAGGCCACTTCTTAAAATTTAGGATTTTTTGAAAGATTGTGAAAAATCAATATCTTTAGATAGTTTGCTGGTCTAATTCATTTTTTCCTGGCTTTCCTTGATGTTTTAAGGATGTTTAAAGAAGTTTTTGACATGTTCGATTTTTTCAGGAAGGTTGTGAAAATTGAGAATTTTGATGATTTTAAGGAAGAATTAAAGGAATCGGATGGAAACGGGTGCACATATTCATCTTAAAGAGCTTTTAATGAAGATAGTAAATTTTGAGGAAATCGCATGATCAGCATCATTTGCATTATCGGCATCAAGGGTTCCACTGGGATAACAT